GGAAGCTTCGCGGTTATAGGCTCTGACCTGGACATGTCAGAAGCCAACTACAAATTGATGGAACTTAATCTAGAAATAAGAGAGTCTCTACGCATGGTGCAATCATACCAGCTTTTAGCACAGGCCAAACCAATTGGAAATTTGGTGAGCACTGGATTCTGAGAAACTTCAGGCATTTAGGGAAGAAACAAACCTGAAGATGACAAAGAATATTACCAGGCACCTTTTATGAACCCTTGCAGTTCACAGATAACTTCCTGGCAGCATCCACAATGTGAGTGTAACTATTGTCCAACTTTTATCGAGATAAAGAACGTCAAAATCAAAGATCTGAAGAAAATTCTAACAGCTGCCAATACCTCCCACAATTAACTCTATGAAGAAGGAATTTTTTAATTACTTAACCTATGTGAAAAGAAAAGGGCTAAAAGTGATGCATACAAATACATTACTTTCTGGAGAAAGAAGAGAATTCCCAGACTGTTTGTTTGCAATAATGGTCTCTAATACGGAGACATTGGAAAGCAGGTGACATGAGGCTAAAATCCAGGCTTGTTCATTTTAGCTGAAGACCTGCAAAGCTGCGTGGATTTCCAGCAGCCAGAAGCATACTCTACAGTTGATGCTTAATCATCTACATGAAGAACCTTCAGTCGGATAGACACACACAAAGACTTCTTTGCAAAAACCATTGATTTTTTTTTTTTTCAACACCTGGGATAAGGGCGTGGGTGTTTCGTTTTTTAGTCTGTATAAGGGATTACGTGTGCGTGAGCTGGGATGTGTGAGTATGTGATAGTCCTATTTTCAAGGTATGGATGTTTGGGGATAACGTGTCAGAGCATGCCTGAAAGAGCACTGCAAGATTATTTTTGAAGAAATTTTATTTTATTAGCTCTAACTCTTCATAGTGTGTAAATGTTAGAACATTTTAATACTATTTTAAAGCTGGGCTTTCCCGGTATTTTGAAAAGAAATAATATATCTGTTAATGTTATTGGAATGCTGCTCAGTTCTCTGATCAGTGCTTACGGGACGATTGTTGATAACTAACCAAAGTAGATGCCTGCAGAGACTTAAAAATGTAAAATAAAGATGTATGCTGCCCGGCAGCTCTTCTCCTTAGAAACGTTAACTTATTTTACTCCATAATTATTATAGAAACTGTATAGATTAAAACCAGTATTGTACATTTTTGCAATGCACTGTTAGACAAGAACAGGTGTACAAAGCTAAAGAAAAGATTGTGGTCACTGATGGTAGAATACATGACTTGCGGGCTCCTAAGTCTGCAGAAAATTCAAGGAGAGATGCAAACACATTTTTCTATGTTTATTCGGGACTCATGTGTTTCACCCAGAAGGAACCTGGGGCTATGGGGGAAAATGAAAGGAAGCCTGAAGACTGACTACCAAAACATGCAATATACTTAACTCCTGTCAAAGTCTGTAGCATAACATGAACTGGATTCTCTGTCCTTTTTTAAATAGCATTTTGTAAAAGAAATGAATGTAGTCCCACAATTCCTCTGATTTGAAAGGAACACCTTGTATTTTTTATAGGCATCTCTTATCCACTGTGACTTTCCTTTTAAACTGGGCTCTGTGACTCCAGAGTTTAGAATGTAGAAATGAAATGCTTAGCTTTGCCTTTTCTTGGGGGTGTGGACCCTGCCAGAAATGTAATTATGCTCAAGTGCATTAATTGAAGGCACTGTGCACGCCATTGGACTGCTGACTAGAGTTGTGTTACCTGTAAAATCCATAACTGGTCACGGCACATTCATAATCACTGTATTTTTTGACCCTGATAAAACACACACAAATTATTTTAATGGTGTTCTGGTACTGTAAATGGTGTCCTTTAAATTATTTAATAACTTTTAGGTGTGGGGCAGGAAGAGAGGGATGGTGTCCAGAGACACCCCACACTTTACATCCTATCTTACCATCCCGTTTTCTCACCCTCCTTCTATCCTTTTTGTTAAAATAAAAAGCATTATAGCTGTTGATTTGTGTTGTATTTTAAGGATGAATGATAGTGTGCATCATGCAGAAACTTTTCAAATGTTATCCTCATTCTTAAACATACCTTCCCGAAAAGGGGGAGAACAAAGTTGAGAACAGATTAGGTTGACTAATTAATTACCCAAACCAAACCTTTGAATAGTTGAAATTTCCTTTTCATGTTTATGTAGCTAAGTTAATAAATAAGATAAATACACCTACAGAAAGCAAAAATGGAAATATAAAGTGGGTTTTCCTAAAACCTACACTGGTTTGCTCCTCTGAATCCAGAGTTTGCCTTTAACAAAATATACCAGATGCTTAATTTATTAAATACCCTGTGTAGTTCCAAACAGAGCCATTTGTGCTCATACCTTTTTCTCTTGCCCACTAAGCTGATCTTTTTAAATAGTAATACTAGCTTGTAAAATAACACCAAGAGAAGAGATGTGGAAGTTTTTTCATTCTCCTTCTAAAATAGGAAGCCAAAAGCTTTTTTTTTTTTAAACAATTTAGAAACTATTTTCTACTTTCAGTGACATAGAGGGTGTGGTACAACCCACAGTCTACCATAAATTTAGGAAATAAACATTCTCTTGGAACAAACTCACCAAAGCCAGAGTAAGTTTTCCTCATTTAGGTCCAAGAGAACTGCTCACACACCACACCAGCATAATCTAAATGAAAAGAAAGAAAATATTAGAATCAATGTAATTGTACTTGATGGCATTTTAAAATTTTTTCCCCAAGTAATCCCCTGTCATCTTAGCAAATGTAGGAAATGTAAAGAAAACTAGAATCACTGGAAACCAGAGATAACAGTATTCTGGGGTATTTCCTTCTAGTCAATGTCTCTCGTTAAATACACACACACACACACACACACACACACACACACGTAAACACATACATTTCCTTTGTACACAGTTTGACAGTGCTAACTGCTAAAATGTTAGCACAACTTTTATAACAAAGATGTTTTTGTGCCACTTTGTCCAGTGCACACTAAGTAAAACCTACTTTGATCCTTGCTTTCCTCAACTGTAAATTAGGTTAGCTGCTCTATATTAAGAGCTTGCCATTACTTTTCCTAAGTTTAAAGAAGGATTTAATTACCGTATTAGTAGACTTAGGACTCCCAAACAGGTATATTTCTATTGTTCCCTCAAGTGTTTACTGAGTGCACTTGCATGCCATGAGTCAAATGTGTCCTTCCCTGTCCCTACCTTCAACCAAATCCGTAGGAACACGTGTTAGAACATCACCTTCCCCCACACCTAGAGTTGTCATCTCTTTGGTCCTACCACCATTTTACCTGGTCTTTGCAAGTCTCCTTGTTTATAGACATCCACTGTGATTATTTCTTTTTGAAGATAAGTCTGTGTCCTACCACAGCTTTAAAACCTTTCAGTGAATTCAGATGACAAAGACCAGTCAGTCCTGAGCAAGGTCTAAAAAGTCCTCCCAGTCTAGGCCTACCAGTGTCACTTGCCATCATGCCCATCCACTCCAAAGTATCCGACTACTTTGGTTTCCTTCTGGTTTGCTCTACCACTGGGCCTTTGCACAGGCTACCTTGGTCTGAAAAGTTTCTCCTTCACCTAATTCAATTCACCCAAACTTCAGGTCAGTCCAAGTGTCATTTTTCAGGCAAGCCTTCCCTGGCCTCCCTAAATCTGATCCCCCACTGATTATAGGCACCTAAGTAGCTCTTTCATATTATGTGACAAACTCCATGTTACCTTTTTTTAATGCAGAAAATAATGGCCATCTACCCGCTACACTGGAAGCTCCAGAAGGGCAGAGGCCACATCTGTGTTCTTCTGAAGTACAAGGCTGACTCAGGCAGTTTCCACACCTCCATTCCATAAGCAACACCCAGGGTGCTTGCTAAAATGCTTCACCCCCAGACCGTGATTCTGAAGGGACAGGGGCCTCAGTCTGTTTTTACAAGCACCTTCCCTGGTTCATGTGGATGCAGAGGGGACTTCCCATTGCTCTAAGGGTTCTAGAGACCTCAAATTCATTCTAGGTTTTTTACATTTGTCTGCACCCATGCACCCAAGAGGTTAACAAACATCTTTCTATACTACCTTCTAAGGTCGTAAGGGTTAACTCAAATGAGAGGATTAGAAAATTGGACGGAGGCATAATTAGCACCTGGTTCCAGTTACGTGGTTTCTGTAACCATTAAACCAATAACCCTCAACTCTGATACTAAAACCCCGAGGCCCTAGCCAACATGCCATCCCCCACCAGGAGAGTGCCGGGAGCAGGTCCTTAGTATCTTCTCGGGAATCACATCAGAAGCTAGCAGGCACAGATAGAATTCCTGTGCTAGTTTGCAGTCACAGACTGCAAGACAAAAACCCAGCCGAACACCGTCTGTTAACTAACTTGAAATCCCCGAGTACGTTTAGGAGGCCTATTTAAGTTAACTCGATCCACTGGACTTCAAGTGGTAACAGCCTAAAGAAACTGCCCTTAGCCACCCTGTTCCAGTCCCCACCTGCACCCTCTGAAACTATGTAGTGCATAGCCCCCAGCCGCAGCTAGCTAGCCAGCCAGCCGCTCGGGAGCAACCCAGAGGCAGAACCCTAACTCTCTTAGTCTGTCAAGGCTGGGCTCCGCCTCCACGTCACCCAGAAGAATGTTATTTTAATGGCTAGGTGGCTTTTCATTCAATCACTATCTTGCTTAGAAGCTTCAGCCCCACAGCCACACGGGAGCAGTAAACCTCATACTTGTGAGGCCCTCTAACAAAGGGACAGATGCAGACTGTTAGAAGAGCAGCTCTCCTAAGCTTCAAAACAAAACAAACATCTTATGCAATTTATCGATTGTTTTTGCAACACTTTTATTTGAAGGCTGTCAAAAATACAGCCTTTCATGAAGTATTTTTGAGAAGGGGGAGGCAGAATAGAGCAGGAAAAAAGCTAACTTGTCTGCTCCATTAGCTCACGTTCAAGTAGGACCATTGTTTTTTACATTCATTTAAATGATATATTTGAAGCTGAAAGTGCTGTCACAGGACAGGCGTTTGCCTTTGCATCTCCCACACAAATCTTGACGATGGGGCCTTTTAGGGTCAACGTGGCGGAGTTTTACAGTGCAGGAGCATCTAGTCTGTTTACAACTCTGAAAAACCAAAGTGAGAAGCACATACAGAAGATAAGCCTGTGAGGACTTCCTCAAACTTCAGTTATTTTTCGAGTCCATTCAAATACTTGGCGAATGCACGCCACGCAAGGCCCTGTGCTGATCTTGTCCCGTCTGCACCCCTTCCAGCAAGGACGGGATCGGAACGGAGGGTGCTCAACCAACCAGTCATGCTCTCATGTTGCAGAAGATTCAGTGCAGACTTGGGAAGTTTCTCTTGAAACACAGGTAGAAGGAAATCTCTTTCTGCACTTGGAGGGTGGAGAAGAAACCAGCCGGGGAGAGGAGTCGGACAAGGAAAGCCAAGGGGTGAGGCTGCTAGGCGCACGCTGTGGATCCAGCCTAGCAGCGAGGGCTGACCTTGCCTCCCCAAACACACCTGCTGCAAATGACCTGAAGCTGACACCAAAAGCAAAGCAGCAACCCCTGTGCCAGGGGCAGGGTGTTTGAAGCATCCTACTTCAGGGCCTAACCCTACTCTGCCCTCATCTAAAGGAGTCTAAACCGTTTTCCATAGTCCAACTTGAGGGACGTACATGGATTAGGCTGTGTCAACTGACACATCAGGCTCCGCTACCGTGTGCTAACGGTCATGATCCGAGTCTGGGAGCAAGCCCCGCGTCGGGCTCCCTCTGCCTCTCCAGCTGGCCTGTGCTTGCTCTCGCTCACTCGCTCTCAAAATCTTTAAGACCTACAGACCATTTAGCTCTCTAAAAAAAAGTTTAGCCACCTCTTTCCTGAGATTATCTAACCCGCTTCCCACAGTGCAGTGCTTAGTTAAAAGTAAACCAGCAATGTCACTCATTAGCCCCATAAAGCTGGGCAGCTTAAATTTACTCTAAAACAAATCATCCTCCCTTCGCGAGCATTCAGGCAAGACTGAAACTTTCAAACTCCATTTTATACTAAGTATCCTCACTGGGGCATGGGCTTCAAACAAAGCATTTGGGCAGAACAGGCGGCCTCATGACAGTAGAAAGGTATTCTAGGTTTTGACTTGCTTTCCCACATTAGACTGAGTACCAGGTAAGGCAAACACTCTTCCATGTTGCGGGAGAAGGGACAGCGTCTAAAGAGGTTAGCATAACCAAGACTTGAAAGGACAGAAGGAAATAAGACCCCCAAGGCCCAGTTTCCCAGTTGAGTATTATTTCCACAATCCCCACTGAAAAGCAGTCAAAACCTAGGGTCACTGGGAACCTAGTCTCTCTCAGGATACATTCAAGAAGCTCCCCCAAAACCCCCCAGAACCCAGCTACCCGGTTCAGACACAAAATGTATTTGATTTACTTGACAGGTGATATCCTCCACTCGGTAAGGGTTATAAGACTTCTGACAAGTTCTGCAAAACTGCTTGAAGTAAACCTGTGAGGAGAGAGGGGAAATGTGAAGCAAAAGCCTCTCGACACTAATGTCAAAAAGACGCCAAGTCCGCGGCATTTCTTACCTTGTTGGTGCCCTGCACACACCACACGTAGGCACTTTCCCATCGGATGTTGCAGTCCTTGCAGTGATAGTAGCCATACTTCTGCTCTAAGAACTGAAGAGAAAGACACCAGGGTTTAACTCACAGGATATTTGAATTAGCCTTCATTTCACAAGCTGGGAAGGACCGATTTGCTACTTAAAATTGGCAACCTCATTCCAGATCATGGAGGAAAGTGGGCTCAAGGTTTGCCCATTAGTCTCTATAATGTAGTAATCAGGTGACCTAATGGTTTAATCAAGCACGCAGCAAGCAGGAGCCTAAAAAAGTTCACGTTCCAGATCCACTTGGTTCTTCAATTTCCAACAGTGCTAGGAATCTAAATTGCGCATGAACCAGAATTCATATTTCACATGAACTAAAGTAGTACTGTCTTATTCTTGAGCTTCTCCTCTCTCCCTCCCAGGGAGAAACAGGTGTTTGGAGTTAGGCCCTTAAGTGCTCTCCAAAGTTCCTGCCAACTCTAGAGCAATTTCATAGGTGAGCAAACATCGGTCCAGGAAAGTTAGGAGGCAATTACATACGGTTTAAATGACACACAGCTTCTGTCCAACTTGACTCCCTCCGCCTCTCCTCCCCTGCTCCCAACAGCCCTGGGCTGACTGGGGGGGGGGGGGGGAAAGGAGGCCTCCAGTGCTCTTACTACCTACCTCGGCCTTACCCACTTCCCCGCGCCACCACTGCCCTCCGCGCACCCCGGCCCTTTAGAGTCAGCCGGTGTGAGCTGGCCACCACGCCCGCCCCGCTCAGGCAGCAACACACAGTGGCCCGGGTGCTTTAGCAACGCTGAGGTTCCGAATAAAGGGTACTTTCTAGGAGCAAGAAAAGATCCCAAGGGAGGCACGTCAAGAGCTCTAGCTTCCAGGAGGAGCTTGGGAAGTTCGGGCAAGAATCAGGAGAGAGCTGACCAGGACCCCAGTAACTGACGCTTAGGGCTTTTTGCCACACTGAACTCGGATAGGTGAGTGCGATCCTCAGGAAACGACTCTCCTGCCACCAAGTTCCCCTTAGGATGTTCTGCTGAGTACCCCTCCTAGATCGTCCAAACGAGGACTCAACACCCGACTCCGCGTCCACGGTCAGAGTTGTTTTTTAAACAGTAAATGCGCTCGGAATAGGAGGGTTACCAGGGCGTCTCCGTCGCCAACCTGTGGGGCCCGTTTTACAATCGCCGCCAACAATCAGAATGCACTCGTTGAATTCTGCGGTGGGGAGAGGCCGATCCCCTGCCGCTGTCAGCGGCTGCGAAAAGGCGCCCAGCCGTGGCCCGCCTCTAAGGAAGCCGGCGCCTCCACCGGTGGCGCGCAGCCACGGGGCGAGGGGCGAGGGCCGGGAGGAGACCACGCGCCCGCGGCTCCCCCACGCCCGTCAGTGCCCGTGGCCGCCTGGGCCTCACCTGGAAGCGCGGCCGCTCCTTGGCCTGCTCGGGGCTCCGGGGCGACGACCTCTCGCCGGCGGCGTCCTGGGCCCGCCCCGCCGGCGGGGGCTGCTCCGGGCTCCTGGGCGCGCGCCGCCGGGCCGCCTCACCTGTCCCGGTCTCCCGCGGCGGCAACCCGGGCCCGGCGACCGGCGGCTCCCAGCTCGTCCGCACCGCGGCCTGGGCCTCGTCTTCGTCCCCTTCCTCCTCTGCGGGCCGCGGCCGTTGGGGCGCCTTCCTCGCCGACCCCTCTCCCTCCTCGGGGCCCCGGAGCCTCGGGGGCGCCGGCTTCCGCTCTCCCTCCGCGCCGTCGGCCCCTTCCAGGAAGGTGGTGAGGCGGCGGGAGGCCACGGGCGAGTACACGGCGACGGTGCGCGGGAAGCGCACGGGCCGCGGGGCGCCGCTCGGGGGGCTGCCCTGCTCCGCGCCCCGGCGCGCCGGCTGCGGGGACGCCGAGCCCCCGCCGCCGCCCGCACCCTCGAGGCCAGGGCCGGCCAGGGGACCGGAGTCGCAGGCCCTGCGCAGCAGCGTGCGCCGCCCCAGCGAGCACTGAACCGAGGCGTCGCGGCGCGGGTTCACCTGCACCGCCACGTCCCGGCTGCTGGCCCTGCGGGGCCGCGGGCCCAGGCCCGGGCTCACCTGCGACAGGAGGGCCATGAGCTGCGCCCGCTGGTAGCTGTCAAAGTACTCGGCGGCCGTCAGCTGCCCGCAGCCCGGGAAAGAGGACGCGGCCGCCCCGGCAGAGGAGGACGACGAGGAGGACGACGCGGGGGCGTAGCCCCCACCCCGGTGCCGCCAGCCGCCCCCGCCCGCCGCGCCCTTGCTCTTGGCGGCCGGCGGGTAGGGGTACGGGTACGAGTAGGGGACGCACGCCGGGTACATGTAACCGTCCAGCACCTCATCCGCCAGGGCAGCCATAAGCGCAGCCCGGGCCGCTCCCGAAGCCGCCCTGCCCTAAATAGGCAGCCCTGCGGAGGCAGCCGGCCGCCGACCCCCCCCCCCCCGCCTCCGCCGCCGCTCCCCGCGCTGCGCGGCCCCCCGCACCCTGGCCCGTCCCCGGCTCGGGTCCCGGAGTCCCCGCCTAGGCGGCCTGTCCCTGACCTCTGGGGAGAAATTTTCCACACCCGGAGGTCGCCACAAATACCCTTCGGTGATGGGGAAAGACTGCTTTCTTTGTGATGCAAGAACTGATTTGTGAGCGAGCTCGCCGGAGGTGAAGAGGATACCGACAAAAGAGCGCAATCACCGGGATTAGCCGAGCCAGGTGGTCCCGGGCCTCGAGGCTTCCAGGTGTGTCTGCGCTGCCCGGGAAGCTGAGGCGAAGCTGGGCGCCTGTGTCTGGCTAGTGAGCAAAAATGCACAGGTTGGGGGGAACTGCTTTGGGTCTGTTACCTATGATCTCAGATCGTAGTTTCATTGTCTCGGAACTGCTCTGAAAAGTCCACCCCTTGCCCCCTTTCGGGAACCCCATAGGGAAAGCACTCTAAGGCATCCGTATCTAGGCTAATTGTCTTCTCCCCCGCAGCACGTCCTCCCCTCCCCTCCACCCCCCACCTCAAGCGAGTGCCACGAGGTATTGATGTCTATTGGGGTGGAGAGTACTAAAATTTTCCTAACCAAATTATCCCTCCAAAAGGTAATTGATTTGCGATGTGTCGACATAAATGCAGAAACCAAATCAGTCCCCAACTGAGAAGAAAATGCCTTGTTCCCTGGAAAAATGTTAGCTGTCCATTATTAATCGGTATCAGATATACATTAATGTACTTTTGTGTTGATTTGATACAGGTTTGACAATAAAATACTGTATTTCATTGCTTAGTTGACCTGTTTTGGGATTTTTTTTTTTAATACAGCTCAAAATTCAACACTGTCTGGTGTTCCTAAGTTGAGCAAGCACTTGGTTTTTTTACAATTACATTGAACTCAATTATGCTTTACAAATTGCTTTCAAATTATGCTTTACAAAAAAAAGCTTGTTTTTACTCATATAAGATAGTGCACCAAAATTCTACATTTCCAAGACCCTGTTTTCTAAGAGTTTACATATTTGAAACATAGAAATTGGTAATGGTAAAAACCAAAGAGCACAGCTAACATGTTCAGGCTTTACCCTAGCAGTCCCAGGTGCAAGCTATATTATGACATTGATTTGTAATTTGGGAAAACGCTTGGTTAATACACCAATGCAACCTTACAATGGGAAGATCATAATTGTGACACGTATGATGATGTGAACCATTTGTTCTCCTTTATGTAAACCATATTCACTACCACAGACCATAACGATGAAGTAATAATATTTCAGCAAGATAGAAGCGCCTCTGTATCTTCACGTTCAGAGAGAAGTCTGAGTGGTTTCCATCATAATTAAATTATCAGCTTTCACTGTGCCATAGGAAGTGTCTGCCATTTCCTCTTCTTTTAGTTTCTTATAAGAAATATCTGTGTCTTCATCTTCATCTAGAGGATCTCGCTTGTGCAATATTTCGCTTCCATACACTTTATATATTAAGACCAAAATCGCTGCTTCTGCAGACTGGAAAAGGGCATAAAGCAAGGGAAACATGTACATACTTCCTATGAATTGTGGTGGGAAGGCCAGTTTCAGAATGGCAGTACAGAGCTGCACATTCTGACTGCCCGTTTCCAGGCATACAGTCCTCTTGCAGTTGGGTGGAAGATGGAAGAGAGTAGCCAAGCCGTAGCCTGAGGCATAGCCTGCCAGAGGCATAAAAATTGCTATCATATAAACACTTGCAGGAATACTCGACAGCAGTTCAGGTCCTAACATAGTGCCAGTCATTATGAAAAGGACCACCAGCGTCACTAGCAGAGACCACAGGGAAACCTAGTAATAGAAAATGAACACACAAACCATCAAAAATAGGATCGTTGATATGGAATTCAGGCAAGCGAATCCTAGGCTCTTGGAAGAAGAGACACATCTAGGCTCAACTCCCACACAACGGAGATCTTTGCCACAAGCAGTCTTTGACAAAGTACTTCTGAGGATGGATAGATCCACCTTCAGGATGAGTCTGGGTCCTTGTTGGACAGTTCTAAATGTTTGGAGGCCTGTCCTTACGATGAGTGACAATCTGCCTTCCCTAACAACTAGCCATTATCTTGGATAGATGCTCAGGAGCAGCATAGACCAGACTCTTGTTTGTTTGTCTGATTAATTAATTTGACTCCTGTTTAAAAAACAGGAGCAGAAGGGCACGTGGGTGGCTCAGTCGGTTAGGTATCTGCCTTTGGCTCAGGTCATGATCCCAGGGTCCTGGGATCAAGTCCTGCATTGGGCTCCTAGGTCAGGGGGGAGGCCTGCTTCTCCCTCTGCCCCTCCCCCTGCTCGTCATTCCCTCTCTTGCTCTCTCTCAAATAAATAAATAAAATCTTTAAAAAAATAGATAAAAAGTAAAAACCAGGAGGGGAGGGGCACCTGGTGGCTCAGTCGGTTGAACATCGACTCTTGATTTCAGCTCAGGTCATGATCTCATGGATCAAGCCCGGGCAATGGGCTCCTTAATGAGCATGGCGCCTGCTTTGGGGTTCTCCCTCTCTCTCTGCCCACCCCCTCTTCTTTGCTTCTAAAACAAAACAAAACAAACAAACAAACAAAAACCAGGAGGGGAAGGCTACTCTTCTTCAGGCAGATGTCTCCAGACTTTCATGTAACTCTGTGGTGGGAGTCCTGATAGTTCTGAACATGTGTTTAATTTGTGCGTGTACCTCTTAAAAACAGCAGTTAGAATTGAGCTCAACACACCAGGTCTGGTCTGATGAACAGAGTGGGCAAATGAACATTACCTTCCCTGAACGGGACCCCATGTTTTCCATAAGAAATTAGTTCTGAGAAGTATATTACACGTGATATAAAAAGCTATTAAAATTTATGAGACTTATATGTGCTATTTTCAAACTTCAAAATACTTTGTATTTCAGAGAACTGATAGCAATATTGAAACAATTACCAACCCAGATTATGTAAGTGAAAAATGTAAACAGAAGACGTGAGGAATTCTTTGTAATTCTGAACATCCCCTTTTTCTATCTGTTCATGAGAAAACTCCCACCTGTAAATCTCCAATGATGTTAAAAATCCTTACATATAACAGATGGATTTTAAATATAGTACAACTGACTCTGTACAAGACGTTGCATCGTCTTGATGTCTGACTGGTACCTCTCACTCATTCACATAAGACAAGCTGTGAAAATAGTAAGGTGGAAACCTAAAACTTCCTCTCCTGGTTCTCCTTCAGATTCGTAGTTAGTTAGTTTTTGTTTTTGTTTTTGTTTTTGTTTAATGGGGGTGGTGGGTGGGAGGTGTCTGTGAAGGAAACCAGAGATCCAGAAGAACAGTTTAAGTGTTGCTTCCGGTTTGCTGGATATCTGGGGGAAACCCCTTTGGAGTCTGTGGGATTGGCACATACTTCATACTCTTTTAAAAATTATTTAAAATTTATCTGGGCTGGACAAAAAGTCTATGCTAGAGGGTGCTGAAATTATTATATAAAACACTCATGCTACAAAGGTACAACGGGCAGAAACCAAACTATGATAAATCAAAACTTTTTTTAAGTACTCTACACCCAACGTGGGGCTCGAACTCATGACCCAGAAATTAAGAGTTGCACGCTCTACTGACTGAGCCAGCCAGATGCCCCTGAGGTTTTCTTATATCAAGATGTGTGTCCACATCAAAAGCTTTGATGGGAAATCTGATTCTTCACTGTAAAAATATTGGCTCCAAAGTTTCTTTTGAACTATTTTAAATCATTTGGGTAAGCACTGACATGAAAGAATCATTTTAAAGTGTTTGCAAAAGTGTAAAAGTGTTATACAGCATACTTTATGAGTTAGGAGGAGGAATAGGTTCACCTTAAATTCAAAGTGAGCCAATCTGGGCGCCTGGGTGGCTCAGTCGGTTAAGCGACTGCCTTCGGCTCAGGTCATGATCCCCGGGTCCCGGGATTGAGTTCCGCATCGGGCTCCCTGCTCGGCAAGGAGTCTGCTTCTCCCTCTGACCTTTCCCCCTCTCCTGCTCTCTCTCTCTCATTCTCTTTCTCAAATAAATAAATAAAATCTTTGAAAAAAAATTAAAAAAAAACAAAGTGAGCCAATCTTATCGAATTGTCTATTACTTAAATATATTTATCTGTTTTTAGCATGGGAATAGCTTATTTGATTTATTTGATTGACTTTCTCTTAGAATTCCTAGGTTTGTTTGTTTTTTTAAGATTTTATGTATTTGACAGAGAGAGACACAGCGAGGGAAGGAACACAGGCAGGGGGAGAGGGAGAGGGACAAGCAGATTCCCCGCTGAGCAGGGAGCCCGATGCGGGGCTCGATCCTAGGACTGGGCTCGATTCCAGGACCCTAGGACCATGACCTGAGCCGAAGGCAGATGCTTAAAGACTGAGCCACCCAGGCGCCCCTAGAATTCCTAGGTTTTATAGTATTAGCTTAATAGTATTAGCTTCATGATTAAGCTTAATGTGTTCTTAATGCATTTCAAGATTATTTGTAGGTATATTATATACGTAATATGGAAAATATATGTATATTTACATGTATATATAAATTTATTACATTCAGAATATATGTTTATTATATATATATATTTTACAGATTTATTGATCTGACAGAGAGAGACACAGCGAGAGAGGGAACACAAGCAGGGGGAGAGGGAGAGGGAGAAGCAGGCCTCCCATTGAGCAGGGAGCCCCACACGGGGCTCGATCCCAGGACCCTGGGATCATGACCTGAGCCGAAGGCAGATGCTTAACGACTGAGCCACCCAGGCGCCCCAATATATGTTTATTATAGAGCACAATTTTTTTACTCAAGACTGGATATATGTGTATAAAAGAACCCTTTATTTTTTCATATTAATAACAGTTAGCTTCTCTGAATAATCAGATTTTAGATTCTATTATTTATTTAAAATTAACTTATTTAATTAATTTAAGTAAAACACAAAAGATTATGTCTTCTTAAATCTACATAATTGAAACATTGGAGAAACTCTTTTCACTTGTCCAAATGAATTTGCCTGTGCATTAACAGTAATTACTTATGTATTCTGAGTAACTAAAATGGGAGTCCTACTCATGGTTTACTCTTATTTACTATTTTTGAGTTTTCAAAGAAAGCTTAGTTGACAAATATTTAATATTTTCCCCAGTCACCTTTACAAAATCTCTACTTCTCAAAAAGCACCAGTTTGTTTGTTTTTTTAATAAAGCAATACTGGAAATAGTACACAAAGTAACAGGAATTCTCATCCTTTCACTAGCTTTAGATGCAGTACTGCAAGGGGAAGGAAAAACACACAGATTTACTAATGGTTATATACTCTGCATTATTTATCCAGGGCCCAATCTTATTTTGTGCTTTAAAGTCAATATTTTGTGTATTCTATTGCCTCAATGTGCTTTTTAAATTACTTTTGGTCATATTAGTGTCAACTTATTTTTAGAAAATTAATAAAACATCTTAAAGGAAACGTCTACAAAGTTCCTCAGAATTAGAGTTCCACTTTTTTTTTAAAATGTTTTATTTATTTATTCATGAGAGTCAGAGAGAGAGAGAGAGAGGCAGAGGCAGAGGGAGAAGCAAGCTCCCCGCCTAGCAGGGAGCCCGATGCGGGACTCCATCCCAGGACCCTGGGATCATGACCCGAGCCGAAGGCAGACGCTTAACCATCTGAGCCACCCAGGTGCCCCAAGTTCCACTTTTTAAAAAGATAGTAATACATTTCTAAAATACTGGACAAATGCAATTCATATAATTTTATTTCATCTGCTTTGATTCTTAATAATGCATGATTTGTTAGTGGAAAATATGCTGCCAATTAATGGCACTGATATCTCTTTCCCCTGTGATATATTTCCTCCTGTGAATACTAGTAGTTCTCTTATGCTGTTTTTAATTAAGCTTTGTTTTAATTAAAGCTATGAGTTTTTGGAATGCCAAAAGACAGAAGTTATCTTTGTGGCACAAACTTTTTTGTTTTAAAGTTTATCCATGCAAGGGCTGCCAAGTTTTCTTCCTTATCCCTCTTTCCCGAACTTCTTAGCATTTCAGCCAGGGGTCAGAGACCAAGGACTCTCCAAATACACAAAGTACATAAAAAGGAAGAGTGACCTTACCTTCACAATGTAGTCCGCCACCCGGTTGTATTTGTACCGAATGAAGACCCCCAAGCCAATAGGGATGAGAGTGCTGCAGAGAGTCAGGGTCACCGCCCCCAGCGGTAGTAATTGCACCAGGGGGGTGTTGATCCAAGCCCGGCTATAGATCCACAGGCACAGGGGCATCAAGATTAGGGCCAGAAGTGTAGAGGAGATGGTCATGATGATGCTGCAGAAAAGGGAATGAACAGAATTCAGAATGGGCTCTGTGCCAAGAATCTCCTTTGCACACTGGGTAACCTCTCTCTTGAACAATGGGTAGAGGAGAAAGAGACCGCAAGTCTGGAGCGTGAAGTGTGGGGAGAACCCACTTCATCCAGGGAACTGCCAAGAGATAGGCAGCTCTAAGCCCAACTGAAACAGGAACCCCAGATTGGGGGTGGGGGGAATCTGAGAACTGTTGCCCCGGTTTTATAAAGCCTATTGAGCTGGCTACAGTCTGTCTGGATGATTCTGAGGGCAAAGAACATCTTTCCTTTTTTATTTAGTCCTCCAAAGCACCCTGTTAGACATAGCAAAGCTGCTGAACGCGACTTGTTGAACTGAACTCAATTATATTGTCCTCTATATGAGATCACTTTCTTTACTGGGGCCAAGAGCCCTATTTTGCTTTTGCATTTCCGGCGAGACCTAGCTTCAGGCTTCCCAGTTCTCTTTGTCTGCCGGAGGCCGGAGACCTCTGCTGACAGCCCAGCCCTCAGGGAAGATGGTTGGAGGGCCGTCAGAGCAGCTCTGTCCCCGTCTAGGTCTTTCCCCCTACAACACTACTTCCTCACATCTGCCTTGACTTCTAAAGCCCGGGCGTCACCTCTTCCTGCGCTCTCTCCAACCGCCTCTCCTTCCTCTCTGCTGCGTCTCGAACCCGCCGCTCAGCGCGGCTGCTTGGGGTACGAGAGATGCCCAAGGACCAGACAGCTCCGTACCTGAGGTTCATGTCGCCGTCCACCAGCAGGGACATGAGGTTGGAGAGATTCCCGCCGGGACAGCAGCCACACAGGAGCACGGCCACGGCGGCCACCTCGTTCAGCGAGAAGGCCAGGGCCAGCAGGAAGGCCAGCAGCGGCAGCAAGCCGAACTGGCAGAGCGCGGCCAGCAGCGCGCCCACGGGCCGGCGGACGTGCTCCCCGAAGTGGTTCACGTCCACCGTGCAGCCCAGGCCCAGCATGGTGATGCACAGGGCGGCGCCCACGAACACGTTCAGCCCGTGGTTCAGCGGTGTGTCCCAGAACGGGGTCTGGGGGTGCGCCCAGGGGTGGGGGAACAGGGACGGGCCCAGGCTGGCCGCGCCGCCCGCCGAGCCGCCCGCCGTCGGCTCCGGGGTGGGCGTGGGGCCGGGGCTGAAACCGACGCCGGGACTGGGCGCGAGACTGAGCCCGGGGCCGGGCCCGGCGCTGGAGTTCAGGGCGACGGGCAGGTCCGAGCCGGGGCGCAGGCTGCTGGCATTGGGCGACAGCGTGTAGTTGTCCGGCTGCAGCGAGGACGGGGCGAAGAGCAGCGTCGCGTTGTCGGGGCCGTCCATGGCGCTGGGGCGGGAGGCTGCGGGTCTGCGGTTCCCGGGCCCCGCGCGCCTCTCCCCCGGTCCCGCGGTCGCCACCGCCGTCCGCCCGCCCGTCGGTCCGCAGCAGCAGACGAAGCTCGGTCCGCAGCCCGGGCTGCGCGGCGCTGACGTCTCCGCGGCGTCGGGTGCGGCGTGGGGGGTGGGGCTGGGGTCCTCGGCAGGCGGCACTTAGAGCGCAGCCCCCCGGGGTGAAGGCAATCGCTGTGCCCCCGCGCCCGGCAGGCCCCGCCCCGCCGCGGGTCCCTTCTTTTAATCACCAGTAAGTGGTTCTGTGAGAGTGTAGCCAGGGGCGGAACAAAGACCTGACAAAGGACAAGAAGAAGAAAAACCGTGCCTGGCTGCCGATCAAATTCTCTGATGGGCTCTGCCTCTTTCATAATGAAATCTGGAGACCCAGACACGGGGGGGGGGGGGGGGGAGAGCGAGCGAGCGAGCTTATCTAAGCACGCACAAAAAGTACATACACTGTTCAAATAGCCTGCAACCCTGAGCATGGAGAGGGGGTCCCTGACTTAATATGAGCGGTTCTCTGGTAGCAAGACACAGTATCTGGCTTTATTAACAGGTTTTTTTTTAAATTCTTTTCTTTTAAGTTTTTAAGTAAAATAAATAATTTGCTAACAGTTTTTAAATAAGATATGTTCAGACTTAAAGTAGAAAGTAGTAATACCGGTGGGTTTGGCAGGTGCGTGTGCATTATTCCATTTGATTCTCACAGCGGAGCCTTGAGAGATGCTGTTAACTCAGTTCTTCCACATGAGGAATCGGAGGCTCAGGGAAATCTCAGCCGCATCAGCCAAACCCACAGCAGTACCTGGATGAATGTGCACCGTGATACGTCGTTAGAGAGGACAGTGAAGAGCTCTGCTAAGAAAAGGCTCCGTGAAAAATGTGTTTTGGAAATTATTGGCAGATGGGGAGAGGATGTTTCTCAGTGGCCATAAATTTATGAAGTGTTATGAGTAAAGCCCCGGCAATAGGATTAAAGGACCGAAAAGAAATAAAGTGGTGGGATTCCCTGCTTCAGACAGGTTTATCCCCAAACAAATCAAATTCAGAGTTCACGGCACTGTGGACTCAACAACTTTCAGTCAGTCACCAGAAGCATCTACAAAGGAGAGAGACCTCTCTGCATACCAAGGAGGTGGAGCCATTTGAGAAGGCATCTAGCTGTGTTGAAGCCATAGCCATTGAGTTGTGAAAGCCAACAGGAGGATTTTCTAGGCAGAAGTCTTAGCTCAGGGTTAGTTTGAGAGGAGCCAAGACCCTAGAGTGAATTCTTCCTCCTGGGGACTTGTCCTTCCCCCCCTTTTCTGACACTAGAGGAGAATGCGTGACTTCCATTTCCCAGTGGTGGACTGAGCTCCTGTGTTTATCTTTTCTCCTCCCCAAATCTCATGAAAATGACAGAATATGAAAAATAAGATTAAATTCACTGCATATTGCATTCATAATCACAAATAATTTATTATTTTTTTTCTCCATTGGACCATAAATTCCATGGGGGCAGAGCTGCGGCAAGCATTTAGGAAAATAATGTGCCTTCATACTTCCCCAAAGCCATAAACCCAAGAAAACCATGCAGTGACGTCTATTGAGATTTGAAGGAAGTGGGATGTGATAATCTAAGTTTTCATTTAGGCTTATGTAAGCAAAACAAAGATACTCAGCTATACAGTGAAACATACTACCCAAACACTGTCATTAGAGAGGTATATCCCTGGGAGACAGGGAGAAACAAACAAGATAAGGAGTGCCTGCTGAGCCTTTACATTCTTCAAACCACAGGATGAGATAAGCCAAGAACACAAATGGCAGAGGGTGAGCTGAAGCCTCACTCTGCAGGCACCGCCCCTGTTTGCCCCCTCCTCGTGTTAATGATATTAAAATCCACAATCAAATTCAATAAGCAGTAATTAGAGGCAGACCAACTCATCCAACTAGCTCCTCTCTTGGTTTGGGGAGGGATTGGGAAGGTGATTTATATAATGGGCAAAGAGCAAAAAGCAGAAAGGGATAGACCTGTTTTGTAAATCAGCAAACTCACAGTAAACCTGCAGTTTGGGGGGCTTCTTGGGGCCTGAAGACCTGTCATCTCCCGGCTGATGTGGTTATTGTCAATGTAAAGAAAGCAGATGTTCCTGCCTCCCCTCTTCCTTCTGACCTCCTTCACTGTTTAGGAGAAAACCCTAGGAGTAGAAAACAGAGCTCATAATCCAGGTGTGGTACTGGCATGGGTCACTTAGCCTCCTCAATTACATTCCTTTTACTCTTGCTGCTACCAAGGAGGGTGTGGCCCACCCAGAGGAGAGAGAATACATAGAGGGGAGAGGCAACAACATAGCACTCGGATAATATGCTGTGGGGGGGGTTGGGGGGAGGTGAGAATAAGTTTAGAACCTTGTTGCACACCATACACCAAAAATAATTCCACATAGATTAAAGGGTTAACTATAGGGCCCCTGGGTGGCTCAGTTGGTTAAGCGACTGCCTTCAGCTCAGGTCATGATCCTGGAGTCCCGGGATCAAGTCCCGCATCGGGCTCCCTGCTCAGCGGGGGGTCTGCTTCTCCCTCTGACCCTCTTCCCTCTCATGCTCTCTGTCTCTCATTCTCTCTCTCTCAAATAAATAAATAAAATCTTTTAAAAAAATAAAAAAAATAAAGGGTTAACTGTAGGTTGCCTGGGTGGCTCATTCGGTTAAGCGCCTGCCTTCAGCTCAGGTCATGGTTTCAGGGTCCTGGGATCGAGCCCCGCATCAGGCTCCTTGCTCGCTCTCTCTCTCTCTCTCTCTCTCTCTCTCTCTCAAATAAATAAATAAGTAAAATCTTTAAAAATATATAGAGAAACAATAAGAACATTTTTGAAAAAGATTTTATGTATTTATTTGACAGAGAGAGAGTACAAGCAGGGGGAGTGGGAGGTGGAGGGAGAGGGAGAAGCAGGCTTCCCGCTGAGCAGGGAGCCCGATGCGGCGCTGGATCCCAGGACCCTGGGACCATGACCTGAGCCAAAGGCAGACGTTTAACGCTTAACGACTGAACCACCCAGGCGCCCCAAGAACATTTTTTTTTTTAAGTGAGCGCTACATTGAGTGTTTACTATACACAGAGAATCTTCTAAGACTTTACATGGACCATCTCCTTTAACTCTTACAATAGGCTTAAGGGGGTTAGAAATTTGCAAGTCATTTCCTAGCAGGGAGAGAGCCAGGATTGGAACCCACACTTTTGGATCCCAAAGTCTGCTCTCCTAAGCCTGATGTGGTACGGTTAAATAAATGAATGCACTAACACAGGAGACTGCTATGCAGATGCTAAGTATCATGTTTATAATCAGAGTAGTTAATCCGGACTCCATTGGTGAATCTGAGAACCTCCTGAAATGAGGTATCAACTTTTCTGAATATGTACAGTTTTTTTCCCTGAAGAGTCCATGATTTTCTCAGGTTCCAAAAAGAGTCCCAAGACCTATTTAGAGGAATAATAAGGGAGAAATTCCTGTGATAAAGTCCTAAGTGATAAAACAAGTTAAAAAGGTATAAATACACACACATACACACACACATTTATATTTATATATATATGTATATAAAATATATATTTATATATATTTATATATGTATATAAATACACATTTATATTCTAGTAAATATATATATATAAATTTAGAGGGAATTTATCCAACGTGTAGAATATCTGCGTGGTAGTATTAAAAGTGATTTTTAGGGGTGCCTGGGTGACTTTGTCAGTTAAGTATCCGACTCTTAGTTTTGGCTCAGGTCATGATCTCAGGGTCCTGAGATCCAGGCCCCACCTCCCAACTGGGCTCTGTGCTCAGTGGGGAGTCTGCTTGCGATTCTCTCTCTCTCTGCCCTCCCCCTGCTCTTGTGCATGTGCGCGTTTTCTCTCTCTCTCTCAAATAAATCTTTGTATTTTTTACTTTTAAATATTTATTTATTCGAGAGAGAGAGAGAGAGAGAGAGAGGAGAGGGAGAGGGAGAAGCAGACTCCTCTTTAAGCAGGGAGCTGGATGCGGGGCTCAATCCCAGGACCCTGGGATCATGACCTGAGCTGAAGGCAGGCACTTAACCGACTGAGCCACCCAGTGACCCCTTAAATAAATAAATCTTTTTTAAAAAGTGATTTTTAGTTTTTTCTCCTTTTTTTAAAAAATTTTTACCGTGTTCCTGAATTTCTGCCATAATAGTATTTTATAACCAGAAAAATATGCTATTTTTTAAAGTATCATATCCAGAGGAAAAAGAAATTCCACAAGTGTCAAGGGGTAAATCACTTTAATCAATCTTCAGCCCATAGGTTGACAGAGAAAACAGGCAAAAGACACAATTTACAATAGAAAAAGTATGTACTATTTATTGGATAGAAAACATTTTATTTGGGTGCCTGGCTGGCTCAGATGGTTAAGCGTCTGCCTTTGGCTCAGATCATGATCCCAGGGTCCTGGAATCGAGTCCCGCATCGGGTTCCCTGCTCCTTGGGGAGCCTGCTTCTCCCGCTGCCCCTCTCTCTGTCTCTCATGAATAAATAAATAAAATCTTTAAAAAAAGTTTTCTTTCACTAGTAGTTACATAAACACAAAACTTAAAATTAAAATAGACAGCCTCAAAGTAACAACATTTAATGCTGAAATGCAATGGAAGAAACACTCGAACCCTCCTGATGGTGGTGAAGGATTTGATACAGCTTCTGGGGAAAGCAATCTGATAATACAATTCTGCTTCTGAAAATTTTTTTTAATTAGAATTATTTCAAGTGAAGTGCCAGAAACCGTAACTCCCATTGGTTTAAGGCCAAAAAGGGAATTTACTGACTCACGAAAATGAAAAATCTCCAGGTGTGGCTGGCTCCCAAGTTAAAATGAGGACTCAGTCTCTCTCCATTTCTCAGCTCTGCTTTCCTCTATTGTTATCTTCATCGTCATGTATACTTTCTCCATAGG